ATTTGTGTTTTAATTTCATCCAATTGATAGCAGAGCAATTCCAATCAAAGCAAAAAATGATGAATCGCATATAAATAGGAAGAATTAGGAAGTAGCCATTGGAGTGGACCCTACTTGACAGAAACAGTAACGGAGTTACTCAGGTGGTAGTTATTTTAATAGTTAGTGTTTTTGTGTGGTAGTAATATAAAATAAAAAATTTAAGGGGTAGAAAATGTGAGTTAGGGTACTTTCCTAAGTAGCAAATGTGAAAATTTCCTAAAAAAAATGAACACGTAACATGGACATTAAATTAAAATAAAAAATAGTGAACACATAAAAAAAAAAAAAAAAAAAAAAAAAAAAAAAAAAAAAAAACTTTTAGCATGTTAAAAATGAAAATTTATCATATAATCATAGAATAGCTTACCATACACAATAAAATGAACGTTTCATAAAAAAATATATGAACATATTATATAAATTGAACATCAAGTATAAAAATGAACAAGTAAAATTATGAATACGTCAAAAGAAAATATGAACATTTAGTATATTAAAAATGAACATGATTTTCATATCCATAGGTTCAATTTCATTGTATACAATGATTAATGAAAAATAAAAATATATATAATAAATCATTAAAATAAGTTTTTTTTTTATTTACTAAATGTTCATTTTTAGTGTACTTGTAGGGAATATTTCAAGCATTACCCCAAACTTGAACCACACTGTGATCATACACTAAAATACGGTGGCGTCCAAAGGGAAGGAAACTAGAGCAAAAGAGTAGCCAACAAGTTTTAGAAACTTGTAAACCGTTCGCAGGGTAAAGGTTACACCTCTTAACGATCCAGGACATTGTTAACTCCAATAGGCCTGGAAATAAGACTGGAAGTTCGGGGATAAAGGTACAAATCCAATCTAAAAGAAAATGAACTTGCCCTAATAATAGGCCTCTACTTTATTCTTCTCGTATTCATGTGCGCTTTCTGACTAACATGCAATCAATAGGATAACCTTAAACCTGTTTTATCTATGTTGGTTAAATATTATTGCACAAACAAATCTATTATTGGCGATCACTTCAATTATAATCATATTAACCCTAAACTGAATTATTAATTATTTTATTAAGCGTGATTACAAGTACATATTCCCTTTAAACTACTTTCCAATACAATTAAAATCAGATTAAAATATTTTGTAGATACAAAGATATGGCCGAAATAGTGGAAGGGTGTCAGTTTTGGATAGAATTTCATATTCCATTCATATATTTTTTCGTTATAGCTCGGAATTAATATTATAATATATCATCGGAAAGATAATTTTAAGATTTATCCAACCATATAAGATTTGGATAAAGATTATCAGGCATGAAAATAAAATCTGAATATATGACATTTCGTACAAAACAAGGATTCTCAAAAGGAGTAGTTTTATTCAATTTCAAACTCTTTGAAACATAATTATCAATCCTAACTCCATTAGGATTTAAGAGAACCTTCTAGAGTATTCTAAAAGACTATAATCAATTTTAATATCTTTAGGATTGATAATTAATAATAGGCCCTCCTCTAGATCATTGGGCCGTATGTAAGAACCAAACCGGGCCCAGTTTAGTATTTTGGCCATAACTTCCTCATTATTCATCGGAATTCGCTTATAATATATCGTTGGAAAGGTATTTTCAAGCCCCATTCAAATACTATTATTGGACCCATATCATGGAACAAACTAAACTGGAATGCACGTTTTTCATAAATAGGGTAGGTTTTCGAAAACAAAAAGAAAGATTATGATTATGATTCGACGCTAAAGGTATTCATCACTGGTTTTGGTTATGGGGAGACACAAATGGGTGTCTACATAAGCCCCCACATTGACTGAGTTTGGAGAAACGCTAGTTTTGAAAACAAAATTCAAAGTATCGATAGGGATAGAGAATGATTCAGAACGTTCTGCAATCCTAAATAATTCTTGTAACGCCAATACCTGCAAACTAGTGTTAGTTTAAAACAGATAATTCTTGTAACGCCAATATCTTGCACTGTCGAGCACACGTCTCTGGAGTTAACCGATTTGCTGTTGCATTTGTTGTTGTGACAACCTTCCACAACCTAGGGAACGCCATCTTGCTGTTTTTACGATCATCCTCAAACTAGGGGATACCGCCTGAAGACTGCTACGCTTGTAACAACCTCCAATTTTTGCTGTGATAATCTTCTGCAAGCCAGAGAACACTATTGAAGATTGCTTTGCTTGAAACGATCTTCTGCCGCCTTGTGATCATCTTCCGCAAGCCAGGGAATATGATCGAAAATAACTTCGTTTAAAATCATCTCAAGTTGTTTGTGACAATCCTCCACAAGCTAGGGAACGCCGTTGATTAATGCTGCTACATCTCGAGCCTTTTTCCAGAATCATAATGACAACCTTCCCAATCATAGCAAAAGTCGTCGAAGACCGCCTCATCACGAACCGCCCTTCTCAAATCTTAGTGACAACCTCCACAATCTTAGCGAATGCCATCGAAGACCGTCCATCTAGTGCTATCTTCTCAAATTTGACAACCTCCTTAATCTTAGAGAATGCTGTCGAAGACCGCCCATCTCGTGATATCTTCTCAAATCTTAGTGACAACCTCCACAATCTTAGCAATTGATGTCGAAGACCGCCCATCTCGTGTTATCTTCTCAAATCTTGGTGACAACCTCCACAATCTTAGCGAACGCTGTCGAAGACCGCCCATGTCGTGCTATATTTTCAATCTTGGCGAGAGACCCTTTAATATTAAAGTCCCCCTGTTGAAGACTTCTTCATCTTGAATCTTCAAATTGACCCTTCCATCTTTGGAAAATCCTTCTCAAGAACCATATCTAAGATTCTTAAAGGCTTCAAATTGATTTGTGGAAATCTCCCATCCTAGGAATTCTTTGTGAACCAATACTTCGGTGCTTGCGATGAGCCAATGCTTAGGCGCTTTAAGCTAAGTGAGAAGATCTTTTGTCAGGTCGATCACTTATTGCGATTGTAATCAAGCTAAATACTTCATTATGTCAAATTGCTTATAGGGGCTAACTGGCGCACCAAGGAACCAGGAAATTTCTACACTAGGTCCGCATAATCTAATATGAGGACCACGCATTGTGTCGCCGCACCAGCGCTCGCTGGAAAATGTGTTGCCGCACTTTGCTTCTGTCGCTAGGCGGCAGATGTCGTCGCTAGGCGACAGCCTTGGCGTCTGGTGCTGGAGTCAGGTCTTCCCTATTTGGCCTTTGCTGCTGCTGTCCGTTGCCCGTTTTCGTTCCGAACTTTGAACTTGGTTGTTTCCTTTCAAACAAATCCGCTCAAATCTTTGTAAATTAAAGCTCTTCATCTCTAATTTACTAATCCATGTAATTTTACTCAAACTCCTCTCGTCTTGGAATAATCTCATGTGTCATATTCGCGGTTTTTTCGAAAAAATCCGGGAATGTTCTCGCTTGCTGGGATGCACCTGCATTTATATTTTTAACTATTGGACTTTGCTCATCTCTTTAATTATCTTAGGGTTGACCTAAGGCTTAGTGTTGCTTAACTCATTAAGACTTAATGTGTTTCAAACATATATGACTTGCCATGACTTGACTCAAGGTGTTTGACATATGTAACTTGACTCAATTCAAGATGATATAGCACGACATGACTCAATGTTCATGACTCGTGTGTGCATTATAGTGTGAAGTAAAAAATTCCGTCATTTTTTGTGGAGGGTACCAACTTTCTCCCGAAAAAGAAAGACACAAAAACGGAAGAAGTTTTTGATGGTGCATGTTCATTGAGCTTAGTCAAATGTTGTTTGGTACTATCTCTCAAGGTGCAAGGATTAATTCATCCTAGTTATCTCAATTGTTGACTCAATGATGAAAGTATTTGGGTAACTTAGGCATGGAGGCTAAGCATTTCGTACTTTGTGATGCAATGATGAGTGATTTTGTTGTGACAAAGTATGCTTCAAGATTTCATGAAAAAGGGTTCCTAAGGAAAGGACTATTTGGTCATGTACCCGTGATGTGTGTGATAATGACACTAAAGTTAGGCCGCAAGGGCTAAGTGTGTGGAAAAATATATTGAAAAGAGTCGAATGCTGGTGACTCTTAGGCTAGGTAGGCTAATGTTGTTGGGATCAAGCCCCTAAGTCTAGCTCTAAATGAATAGGGATGAGTACAGGGGATCCCTTGATATGATCATGGTGTGAGTGTGTGAATGTGAATATGAATGCATTTTTATTACGGCCGCACCTCGATATGAGGTTGCCTACGTATCCGAACGTAGCTCTAGCCGAACCTCGCACAAGTGTGTGTATACCTCAAAAAAGTCTTTTTAAAGGTTGTAATGTGGTTAGGCTAAAGGTTGGAGAAATAATGGGATAAAGGCTCAAGACCCTAGATAAGCCCCCAAGGTGTGCAACCTTGCATTTGAATCTTTGTATTATAATGATAGTTGCTAAAGAACTCGTCGCAAATCCATTATTGCGACTAATTTTGGTATAGTACAAATTTAGCGACGAATTTGCAACGACTTTGCAACTGCAATTCAATAACTAACTTTAAAATTTTAGCTACTGAATCATTGTCCGTCGCAAAATATTAGCGACTAATTTGCGACTATCATTTAATGACTAACTATAAGATTTTAGCAATGGATTCATTGTCCATCACAAAATATTAGCAATGGATAAACAACTACTTTGACAAAAATTTTAAGACTGCGGAGACCAATATTTTTATGATTGATTGGCAACTGCCAAGATCAATTTTTTTGCTACTAACCAATTAGTTGCAAATACAAAACTTAGTTGCTAAATTTTTGCGATAAACTATTTCTAGTATTAAAACCAGAAAGACACTGGTACCTTAATGCTTAGTGTCTTTAATGATGGAAGGCACCATTTCTTACTTGAAACATAGCCTAATATGTTCCCATTAAAAAATAATTGATTTTTTTCCTCTAATTTGAAACAGATACACATACATATATTAACTTAAATATTTTCAATAATAATTATTGTAATAACTATTACACTTTTATCCCAACAGAAAGTACTTTAATAATACAAAGTTGATTGGTATTAGCATTAATAGGAACATTAATAGGAACATTTAACAACAACAGCAGCGACAGCAACAGCGACATCAATGACTTCAACGTTAATACATCGACTAAGGCATCAGCAACAGGTCTGCAAGAATGAAAACCAGATAATAAGCACCTTGATTATAATTTGTCAAGTGAATACACAAGAAGACCAGTTTAAAAACCAAGATATGAGAGAATAGCATACACTAGTAGAAAATAAGTGGTGGGAAGCCCCAAATGGCAAGCGGTTTTTTAAAATCAGCTTGCCATTCACCTTTTTTAAAAAAAAATCCTGTAATTTTAAATGGCAAGCGGTTTTGGCGCGAACCGCTTGCCAATATATATAATGACAAGCGGTTTGGGGTTGAACCACTTGCCATTAGATATATTGGCAAGCGGTTCAACCCCAAACCGCTTGCCATTTATAAAAAAAAACCTAAACGCGCATCACCTTCCCCTTCTTTTATTTCTCGAGCTCAGCTCTCTCTCTCCTCTTTCATTTCCGCCGAGTTCATCTCTCTCCTCCTTCATTTTTACTCCCGTTTTTCCTCTCTCTCCTCTTCTCTTCCCTAATTCGCCCCTTTCTTCTCTTTCACTTTCTCTTTGTTCTTTCTCATCTCCTTAAATTCGAGCCAAAACAAGGTAAATTTGAGCAAAATCGAACAAAACCCCAAGTAAAATCGAGCAAATTTCGAACAAGATCGAGCAAATTTGTGCATGTGTTGGTGTTCAAGTTTTTTAGGTCAAATTCGACCATGAAAACCCTAGATCTAGAGTTTTTATGGTCAAATTTGACCTTTAAAACCATAATTTCAAGCCTAAATCGGTTTTTTGTTGGTCGTTGTGGTTCGATGGTATGTTTTTTAAGGTGGGTTGAATTTTTTTTTGTCCAAATCGGCGTTTTCTAGTCGTTGTTTGGGTGGGGGTGTGGTCGTGGTGGGCGGGGGTTGTGGTTTGGGTTAGGGTCGTGGTGGCTGTTGTGGTTTGGGTTAGGGTCGTGGTGGGTGGCTGTTGTGGTTCGGGTTAGGGTTGTGGTTCGGGTTAGGGTCGTGGTGGCTGTTGTGGTTTGGGTTAGGGTCGTGGTAGGTGGGGGTTGTGGTTTGGGTTAGGGTCGTGGTGGGTGGGGGTTGTGGTTTGGGTTAGGGTCGTGGTGGGTAGGGGTTGTGGTTTGGGATTGGGTTTGGGTGGGGGTCTGGTCGTGGGTGGGGGTCTTCTTTTCTACTAGTGTTGTGGTGGCTGTTGTTGTGGGTGGTGGCTGGTGGTGTTTGGTGGCTGGTCGTATTTTTTTTTGTTGCTAGTGTGGGGTGCTGGTTGGTGGCTTTGTTGTTGTGGGTGGTGACTGGTGGTGTTTGGTGGCTGTTGTTGTGGGTGGTGGCTGGTGGTGTAAATTAAATGATATTATAACAATTAATTAATAAAAATATTAATATTTTTACATTTGGATTGATTATGTATCAATTTAATTGAAAAAACCCAAAAAAAAAAAATTATTTTTATTTTTAATACCCCTAATGGGCAGCGGTTTGACGCCAAAACCGCTGCCCTTTCTTTACAATTGGCAAGCGGTTCTGAACCGCTTGCCATTTTAAAGGCCAATTGGAAAGCCCCCTAAAGGCATGCGGTTCAGAACCGCTTGCCATTGGGGGGTTTGAACCGCTTCCCATTATGTATTTTCTACTAGTGATAATATTGTAGATGAAGTATAAAAGTGCTATCTAGATAATTAATATATATATGAAGAGACATGCTTAAACTCATCAAGACACCCTTGCAATCTTGGGGAGATTCATAGTAATGCAAGGACTAACAATAATGATTTAACTTTACACGTCTTTTGTAAACAAAACTAAGAAATGTTTTAGATACAAAAGTTCCCAATCCTTCTTATCATAACTAAATTAACCAGAATAGTTTGATAGACAGAAATAGGAAACTAAGGTAAAGTATATATTTAGAGGCTAACCTCTTTTTCCTTAACAAGAAAGGTTGGTTGTCGACGTTCCTGAGGTGCTTCTTTGCTATATAAGCTGATAGGTATTCAGTAATGAAAATTAGTTATTGACCTAAAAGAGAGTTTAGCAAAAAATAAAACCAAAACAGAGAGCGAAGATTTAATATAGATTACAATATGAAAGAAAAGATGGAATATCAGTTCACATGCATATTGTATATTTTGAAGCTGAACAAACAATAAAAAAAAGATAAGAGTAGCAAAAGAGAGCAAAGGTAAAGAAAGCAAAAATATGGCAGAAATCATAATTCTGATCCCATATAGTAGGTGTCCCATATAGTAAGTAGCAGAGCATTCAACCTGTCAAAGGTATGAACTAGCCCATCTGTACCTTTTTTCAGCAGAAAACTATATATATAAAAGCATAATATTTACTATAAATTTTTCTTAGTCCAATAAAGAACCATATTAGAAACAGAAAGAAGAGGAAACAAATATTTAATCCAATCCGATCCAAATAGCATAGCAGAGCAATGCACGAAAAATGGAGATTAGTCTCCTCTTGTGCTTAAAGAATATGAGCTTGTTCTGATCTGCAAATGTAATGAATATTAATAAAATTTTAGACAATAAGCAATGTTTGTTTGTGCTTAAGCTTAACAATAACATATGTACATATCATCTAGTCTCTAAGACAATATCACTTCAAATTCCAAAACATAACAATAAATTTACAAAATCCTAAGAGCAAATCCTAACATCTTTAATGAGAAAGTTATATCATGAGCATCCTTTCTACATCAGTAAATGGCATAGTTCCCACAATCTAAAACTCTCATTCAACTTTTTTTTCTACAGCTCAATAACAAATCTTCAAAATTGGAATATGGAACCACTTCAATGATGAACCAAAAAATAATGAAGCTACACTCATTTGGAGGTGATAACACCATAATAAAGAACCAAAGAGCATAAAATAGTTAGACAAATTACATCTCCAGTTGTTTCTTAGGGTATTATTTAGCCTAAGTATAATGCATATTACATCTTTTTTCGGTTGTTTTCAAGGAACATGAGAATAGTAATACTGAAATTGTAATTACACATACAAATCTCTCAGCAACACTAATAATGCAATGGTGATTACAAACACACAAAAACCCCAAAATTTCACCAATAATTTCAAATTTTTATCACTTCAATGGAATTTCAAGTAAATTCCTATATCAAACCCAACAAAAACATATACCAAAAAATCAAGAAAAATCATGCAGATTTATACGTATAATAAATGATGGAGAGAGTGAGAAGATGAGAGAGAAAGAGAGAGAAATGAGGGTTTTTAGTTGTTGATCGAATTTGTTGGGATTTAGGAGTCGAATTTGTTGGATTGGGGTCGAAATTTGCTGGGGGGTTTTGGGGTTTTGAACGGGTTTGAAATTCCTAGGGTTTTGGGTTTGATTTTTTGCTCGAGAATGGGAAATTTCTACTCGGATTTGCTCGAATTTGGGAGGATTTGGCTCAAATTTGCTGGGGATATCGGTTGCTAGTTGAAGTTTTTTGGTTCGGGGGTCGAATTGATTGGGGTTTAAATAGTTGAATTTTGCTGGGTTTTTGGGGTTTGAACGGAAGCAAGCTAAAGTAATGCATATTTCAATTCTTTGTCTACACTATAAGCAGTGCGCGAATGAAGAGGGCAATTGCATACTCTTGTTAAACTGATTTTACCCTAACATAGGCAAACAAGCTACTAGATTATATCAAAGTAGAGTGATAACACTTTTACCGTGGGATACGAAACCATAATTTCGTCATATTTAAGAAAACTATCAAATTTCCTATTTTGAGACATCAAATGCGTCAAATGGAAGGTAGAATGAGCTGAAATAACAAACATATATATTTTGAAAAGGATGAACATCACAATTAGTATCGAACGAATGAATATTTCAATCTCTTTCAGCCTCAAATTTTTTGCGACGGAATATTACAGTAGTCGCAATTTTTTCATTTAAGACTAAATATTAGTGTAGTCGCGAATATGAGTCGTAAATTAGCGACCGCATTGCAACTAATGTAAAATTAGTAGCAAAATTTGCGACTACCAGTCTTTTTCAGTTGCAAAAATATGTTTTTGCGACTGAAAATTAGGGTAGTTTAAAATATGAGTCGCAAATTTGCGACTCCATAGCAACTACAGCAAAATCAGTCGCAAAATTTGCATCTACCCGTCCTTTTCAGTTGCAAAAATATTTTTTGCGACTGAGTATTAGGATAGTTGCAAATATCATTCGCTAAATTGGCTTTTTCTTGTAGTGTTGTACACTGTTATTGTTTTTGCTATTTTATTTATTTTGATCTTTTGAAATCACTAAAGCTTTTTATGAAATTGAAAATTACATAAGTTGCACACCATTCCGTCCCAAGGTTAGGTAGATATGGGTTGAAAAATGAAAGGTCTATCGTTAGATGAAGTTCAAAGTGGTTTATCAAGAAAGGATATATATTTGAAAGGTGAAAGAAGATATCATATGGCTACAAGAGGTGCCTCAAATCATTGATATACCTTGTGCTTAGAAATAAATGCTCATTTTATTTAAAAAGTGAAGGGTAAAAATCAAACTCTATGAAATAAATTCAAGAGGATGAAGGGTGCCTATGCTAGACTTATTGGGGGAAGGGTCTGATAAAAGAAGAAGAAAGCATGAAATCTTGGTGAGAAGCTAGCCTTGTACATATCTTTCATCATTACCCTCATTTTTTTTGTTTGTTAATCACATGACTCAAACTCGATTCAACATGCATGGATGGAAGAAGGTAGGAAGAATGAAGGTTGTGATATGGAGAAAGCATGTAGAGAATGGAAAGATGATGTAGATGGAGAGATATGAAAAAATTAGGAATAGAATGTACCCACAACTCAAATGACGGAAAAAAACCGACTCATGCATGAACCTAAGACATGGTCATGGTGTGAAAAGAGTATGTACAAAGTGTGTGCTAAGACTAGTGAGTTAGGTGACATTTTAAGACTTGTGTCATGACCATGTGACAAGACTCGAACAAAGACTGAGTTAAGACCTCATGTATGTGCACTAAACTGGATAGGCTGTGGTATTTTAGTCATAACTTTTGATATGTGACTCTGATTGGGACAAAACCAACGCTAAATTAAATATGAAACTCGGGGCTACAGATCCATAGGTTGTACGACTCGTATTTCTTCCTAGAACTCCGACTATGAACAAAACAAGTTGACACTTGTGCAGTATACGGGAATTAAAATCCGGATTGACTTAAAGGAACTATGACTCGATTTTAGGTTTATTCATTAGTTTCATCTTATTTACAAACACAAGTCAAACCAAACGGTTAGTTTAATCACATGTAAGTATGCACAAGTAAATAATGAACAAGTAGTCAAGTAGTCACAACATGATGCAATGAGTTTGCAACCTAACCATGGCTCTAGTTCTCTAAAGTTCAAGGATATGGGTTAGTCAAAGAGGGGTCATGGTTATGAGTCCGGATGCACCGCGCGGAAGCCTTACTTTTGGAAGGGTTGCCCGGTGTGGATGGGACCCCGCGAGTTAAACTCGCTTCCAAGGTTCGGTGAATTCAACATTCTCGGATGTACCCTTTGTTGCTCAGAGCGTTTAATCAGGTAGATGGAGCATGAATTCCCAGAGGGTTAAGTCCATATGTAGAACACATATGGGTTTCAAAAAAGTGAGAAAAACTCAATTAAGAAGTAAAATCGAGCCAACAGTGCTAGAACTAGTCAAAACAAGAAGGTAGATTTCTGGCTCGGTATTGGAAGAACACGACGCCAAATAACAGAGTCTGTCGCCAGGATTTAAGCTCTGTCGCCAGACGAAAGAATTTTCACCAGGCAACAGAGCCATATCATCGGCGACATGCTCTATTTTCTAGACGCTAGTTCCTACATGCCTTGGCAGCTTTCTGTGTTCTTAGAATTTTCCAGTTTTCGTAGTATTATTTCGATCTTAGTTGTGAAAGATATTTCTCAAATTTCCTACGTGTAAAAATCCTATGTTTTTTTACTCATTATGGATGGTCTTTCCAATGAGAACCTTATTTATGCATATGACATTAATGTTAACCAAAATTACGCAATGAAATACTTAGAACTTTTCGAGTCTCGTCCACTCATTCTAAATCATTGCCGAAATAAATTTCAGGAATTAAAATAGAAATCCTCCCCAGTGGAGTCGCCAAAAACTGTAAGGAATATTTCAAGAATTACCCCAAACTTGAACCATACTGTGATCATACACTAAAGTACGGTGGTGTCCAAAGGGAAGGAAGCTAGAACAAAAGAGTCGCCAACAAGTTTTAGGAACTTGTAAACCGTTCACAGGGTGAAGGTTACACCCTTTAACGATCTAGGAGATCGTTAACTCCAATAGATCTTGAACCAAGACTGGAAGTTCGGGAAGAAGGTACAAATCCAATCTAAAAGAAAAAGAACCTGCCCTAATAATAGGCCTCTACTTTATTCATCTCGTATTCATGTGCGCTTTCTGACTAACATGCAACCAATAGGTTAAACCTAAAACTGTTTAATCTATGTTGGTTGAATATTAATGCACAAAAAAATCTATTATTGGCGATCACTTGAATTATAATCATATTAACCCTAAATAAGATTACTAATTATCTTATTAAGCGTGATTACAAGTACAAATTCCCTTTAATTATTCATAAAAGGCATGATCAAGCAATAACAATAAATATATATCAAGCAACATAATAATCATCATCATAATAATAATCATATTAAAATAATCATGTTAAAGCATAATAATAGCAAGATCCTAGGCATGATACTAACAAGATTAATAACAAACCCTAGCATGTCACTAAACATTAAAGATCAAAGCCTTAGACTAACATGATACTAATATGATATTAGGAAAGAAATAGGAAGCATCATAAAAATCATAATACATTTAAGAAACTTATTCTTTACCCTAAACATGATACTAAGAAAAGCATCCTAACATGATACTAGGATTCAAAATAACAATCTAAAATTGATTTCTATATCAAAATATCAATTAAACAATTAAAGCACTGACTTGGATGCCTCGTACCTCTTTCTAATAACAAAATACACGCATTAGTAAATTCAAGGAAAATATAAAATCAAAACAATTAAATTAAATAATTGACATAAAGATTAGGGACCAAACCCTCATAAATATCAAACTTTCCACGTCTAGGGTGAAGGGAAATTCGAACTTGGCTAGTTGTTCTAGTGCTAATGTGTGAGGAATTGTGTTTGTTAAAGGCTAGGCTAGAAAGAGGGAGAGAGAATAAGCTTTAGCTTAGAGAGAGAGAGAAGAATTAGAGAATTCTGGTTACTGAAAACGGAGGTCCAAGGACCCTATTTATAAGAAAATAGTCCGAAATTGATCAAAAAGTTAGAGTTCAAAAGGGAACAAAACACGCCAATGTCGCCAACGATATGACCTGTCGCCAGGCGATGAGGTCTATCGTTTGGCGCTGCAAGACAGTTTTTTTGAATTTTGTTTTTATCATATCTTTTGATCTAGAAGTCCAACTAAGTCGTATAATATGTCGTTAGAAAGATCTTGAAGTCTACTGTCCAATCCAATTAAATTCAGATTAAAATATTTTGTAGATAAAAAGATATGGCCGAAATAGTGGAAGGGTGTCAGTTTTGGATAGAGTTTCATATTCCATTCATATTTTTTTCGTTATAACTTGGAGTAAATATTATAATATATCATTGGAAAGATAATTTCAAGATCTATCCAACCATATAAGATTTGGATAAATATTATGAGGCACGAAAATAAAATCTGAATATATGTCATTTCGTACAAAATAAGGATTCCCAAAAGGAGTAGTTTTATTCAATTTCAAACTCTTTGAAACATAATTATCAATCCTAACTCCATTAGGATTTAAGAGAACCTTCTAGAGTATTCTAAAAGACCACAATCAATCCTAATAGCTTTAGTAATGATAATTAATAATAGACCCTCCTCTAGATCATTAGGCCGTATGTAAGTACCAAACCAGGCCTATTTTAGTATTTTCACCATAACTTCCTCATTATTCATCGGAATTGGGTAGGTTTTTCGAAAACAGAAAGAAAGATTTTTAATAAAAACTAACCACAACATTAGACTTTCCACACTTTCACTTCATTCGATAATGATTCGACGCGAAAGGTATTCATCACTGCGTTTGGTTTTAGGGAGACACAAATGGGTGTCTACACTACTAAATGTTCAATTTTAAAGTACTATGTATTCATTGTTTTTTAAAGAAATTAAACACAAGTTTGTTATAATTATTTTCACTTTAAAAATTTTAATATCCACCTTCAGTTTAATCTTAGTTCATCATAACAACAATAATTGTCGGTCTATAACATGATAAATTAGGAATTACAAGTGCAAAAAAACCCTCAAAATTACCTTTTGATTCAGACCGCGACAATGATGACGACGATAGAGATTGCTACAATGGTGACAAAATTTGAAATTACTCAAAGTAGAAGAACGAAGAAGTTTAATGATTGAAGGAAAGTGAAGTACGAAAGAAATTTAATTAATAAGAAAAGTAAAAACAAAAAAGAGGAGAGAGAAAATTTTGGGATGAGATTATAATAGAGGAGAGAGAAAATTAACATATATGTAAGAAAGAAG